ATGGATTCTCTAGATATGGTAGGCCCTCGAACATGAACGGTATTATGGTTTGCACATGGATGCTTTAGATATCGCAGGCTGTTGAACATGAACGTGCTCAAAAACCACCGTCCTTTTAACGCGGCGAGCCCTAGTAGTAGTAGTAGTAGTAGTAGTAAGAAATGTTGCAGGTTGCACGCCTGGCGAAGGCGTCGGCTGGCACGCCCGTTGCAGGCGCGGTGCAGTTGGATCGTCCAGCTGCTGATGGCTCATTCTGTGAGGAGGGAGGGTACCACCCTATAGCCCCTTTGAAAGGGGCCATAGTATTGGTAATATCACGTCCCTAAGCCCGAAGCCAAGTTTTGAAACTTTGCTGAATAAGCTGGAGAAAACTATGAAATTCCTATATACCCATATCATGAGTATAACTTGACTTAGTCCTTTAACAGCGACCCAGTAAGCCGTGCCCGTGGTCAGGCCTTTTCTGGAAGAGGCGATACATTCAGCTCAAGGACTCCCAGCTCATTTGCTGGGCCACGATGCCACAACCGCGAGGCCGAGAGTTGGTATAGGGTTTAGGGTGTGGGGTTTAGGATGTAGGGTTGGGGGTTTAGGGTTTGGGGTTTAGGGTTTAGATGCAAAGGGTTTAGGGTTTAGGGGTTATATTGGGATAATGGAAAAGAAAATGGAAACTAGTATTCAGGGTTTAAGGTTTAGGGTTTAGGGTTTAGATATAGGGGTTATATTGGGATAATGGAAAGGAAAATGGAAACTATTTTTTTGGGGTTTAGGGTTTAGGGGTTATGTTGAGATAATGGAAAAGAAAATGGAAACTACTATTTGGGTTTAAGGTGTAGGTTTTAGGGTTTAGATATAGGTGTTATATTGGGATGATGGAAAAAAAGGAAACTACTTTTTAGGGTTTGGGGTTTAGGGAATAGTCCCTCTTAAGTAGATAGTATTTGGGGTATATTGGGATCTCATTATAATATACCCAAAGCCACATTCTACCTACTTCAGGGGGACTATAGGGGTACAAAGGGTTTTATATGGGATGTTATATGGGGTTTCCCAAAATTAGGGATACCATTTTGGGGTCCCTACAATACGGACTACATGATTTTGGGGTCCATCTTGGGGTCCCTTTATTTAGGGAACCTACCATATACGGCTTATATAAACCTAGACCCTAAACCCTAGACCCTAAACCCTACACCCTAGACCCTAAGGGGTTAATATAAACAAATATTTCAGTCCACATTACTATACTCAAGCATTTGCAGAAGATCTGAGGCCCGCGCATGTCTCCGGTGGCTGTCCTTGTCCTCGCGCAGCTGGAGGAAGTTGCAGTTATAGGCGGCAGCCATGCCGTTCCCAGTTAGTATATTTGGGTTATATCGGGGCTATATAGGAATAATGGAGAATCAAATGCAAAATGAAATGGAATTATAACTATTACATGCCTGAGTCTCAGCTTGGTGACAGGCAAGACGCTGACTCTCCACATGAGGAATCAAAAGGGTTGCTTGCAAGCGCGCGCTGAGAGCGATGAGCTCGCAAACTCCTGGGCTCGAGCCGTGACTTTGCTGAACTCATCATCGTTTGTTGTGATTTGTGGGGTTTGTTGGTAGTTTCCATAAATAAGGTAATCCCAATGTAGATTCCAATACATTATGATAAGGGGGTTATGCAGTGGAATAGGGGAGTATTATAGGAGTGATTATTGCGGATACTAGGAGTTTATTTAGACTATAGCTCCATTAGGGTTGAATGTTCTGGGAAGCTTTAGGGTCGAGGTCTTGTGCTTGCGTACAAGTTCTTCTAGTACTGCTCGTGAAAGAAAGAATATTTGTAAGAGCAAAATACTAGTAATAGTAATTAGTTGTAATAGTAGTAATGACAATACTTGTAGTAGTAATGAGATTCGTCATAGTAAAAATGAGAATAGCAGCACTAGTAATAATAGGATGTGCGCTATGTAGAAAGCCATGGAAGGTGAAGTTACACGCTGGGCGTGCCATCAGCAAAAGCTTGCCTCCTGGATGGGATGTAGAGGCAAGCGATGAGATTTACACTCCCGGAAACTAACATGGACACCCCAAGAGGGCCTATGAAGACTACAGTCCTTCTAAAAGGGGACTATATGGATTTCCATGTGAGTTTGGGGGAGTGTACTGGTTTCATCTCCTGCGCATGTGCTGAAGAGGCCATGCTTAGCCGCGGAATGGGTGGTTCTGCAGCAAAGATGGCGGTAGACTTGGAGCATCTCAGAACGCTTCGGATGAATCATATGTCTTTAACTTTTAAGAACAGCCAGTGCCCAAGGTCAATAAGGAAGTGTTGCCAGCCCCATGCAACGTTGCTTTCCAGAAGCTTCTTGGTACTGCAGCCAGGTAGGGGCTCTTGCAGTCTGTGTGCTGGGCGACACTACACCAAGGTTACTGGATCACTGCTTCGTGTGCAAGACGACCAAAGACCGCCAGTGGCCTGGATGCGGTAACTTGCAGCGCCTGGCAGTTCGACATATGGCCAGGTCGGGGGAACACAGTGCCGATGCGGCTAGAAATTGCAGAAGTAGTTCGGGTGCAGAATGGTGCTGCCTGGATGGAGTACGACAAGGCCTGCTCAAGTGTGTTACGGGTGTTCTATGAACTGGATGGCAACTTCATTTTGAATAGCGACAGTGCAGGCCAGACGCCGAATATGCGACAAGGTTCGGACAAACCATTTCTGATATTGCTGTTGTTTCCAGGATTCTGTGGCGAATCTGCAAGGATTGGTATATAGTCCCCCTTAAGTAGATACTATCAGATAGAATATGGAGTATATGGGGATCTTATTGTAATATACCCAAAGCCATGTTCTATCTACTTAAGGGGGACAATTAACCCTAAACCCTGAACCCTACACCCTAAGCATCAGGGAGCTTAAGGGGGACTATACGCAGTCTGGCAGCAGGTGTTCTCTGCGTATCAGTGGGACAAGCAGCATTCGGACTCTGAATCCTCTAGCTCCTCGGCAACACCGGCCGGCGGCTTGGTGGCTGGCATCTTGATATTATTTTAGGCCTAGCGGCAAG